GATGTGATTTATTACTCCAGGAATTTAAATACTGTAATTATCCATGTTAATTGACTTGTTTTAGAATACTCAGTAGTTAGTAACAAAATAGTACAGTGTACAAGACAAACAGCATTATATATGACCCCATTTTCATTGTTTTCATCACACTATGTAATTGATCAGCTGATTTCATGTTTTTTGCCTTCCAACTCTTTGTCTTGCTGCCTTGAGAATTGCCCAAAATCCTTGATTGGCCTAGTTTCTGGCATGTTTACAGATCTATCTTTTGATGAAGGTGATGTTTTCTTATTGCAGAAATCCAATATTGTTTTGATATAGTGCAGGCATGGCCAACATATGGCCTGTCTAATGAATTTATGTGGCCCGCGATTAGCTACTCAAGTCCGAATAGCTCAGCAAAAAATTCTGACACCTAAATAAAAAAAAAGTTCAACAACTCACTGTGTGTTTAGAGTTAACACTGCATTACAAATCTCTTAAGTACGGCATAGAATGTTGATAAAGCATGATAATGTGAAAAATGTATCTGTAATCTCTATGTACAATTTAGTCTCTATGGGGTGACACCACAATGAGATCTTGCACCACCTCAAAATCTTCCTAGGGTAGCCTCTGGTTCGGCCAGTGAAAAAAGTTTTCTTTCCAATTTGGCCCTGGGGGCAAAAACTGTTGCCCACCCTTGAAATAGTGGGAACTTGCCCAATTTGGACAGAAGACATTCAAAATAACTATTCTCAAGAAGAATGTAAGAAATCAGGTGATATCATATACATTCACAAATATTGTTGGGGATGATAGCAAAACTTGATTTTCTGATTATGGCTTGACTCAATCCTTTCATTCTGACTGCAATCAAAACCAAAACATTGCCCTCAAATTTCCCTTGGAAAACTTTACATTGGCAGGTGTAGAGGAGATTATCATTGGTATAAAATTCACCATCTTGTTGCACCAAGTGGGAGAGGATAAAGTAAGATTCATCTTCCAAAATTAAGAACTTTTCAGAGAACTTTGCATATCCAATGTGCAGAGGGTTATTGTGAAATATCCATTGATCTTTGTGTAAAGACATCGAAGACAATGACAAGTTCCATTGACTCCATGAGGCTTAAGACAAAAACAGCAGGTGATTCCAGAGAAAGATCCTCTTCAATCTTATGTTATATGTTAAAAAAAAAAAGTTCAAATGTGTGTGTATATGGTTTGTTCTTACTAAATACAGTCTTAATGGTTAAAGTCTGAAAGCAACTATATATAGCAACTAAATATATATATGTTGCAGTCAAAACCAGTTTTTAGTTAGGACATGTTTTAACTAGTTGAAACTAGTTTATACTAGTTGTCTATTTATTGTAATGTC